AACCAATATATTAAACAAACTAACGAAATGTGCAAAGAAATAAAACCAGAAAATAGCATAAAACAAACGTGCGATAATCTAAAAAATATTGTTAATAACGACTCAAATAATCTAGATAAAATAATAACATTAATAAATACATTATATAAAGTTAAGTCAGATAAACGTAGAGGCTTAATCAATGGCGTAGGCTCTATCACAAAAATCCTATTTGGAATAATGGATGAAAATGACAGAAAATTAATAAACGAACAAATAGGATTATTAGAAAACAAACAACAAATCTTAGAACACGTCGCAAAAAACCAGATTAAAATTTTAAACTCCACCATAATACATCTAAACAAATTGGAAAATATATTAGATTATAATGGAAAACTAATTAATCACTATATTAAAGATTATACTACGCGAGAAGAGATAGACGAAAATTTTACTGTAATAATAGCGATGATAAATAATTTAATAAGAGATGCGAAAGATATTTTGGAATATCTAACATATATACATCAGGGTAAAATGCATCCATTGCTAACACCCATAACTGACATTATAAACCAACTAAAGGAAGCCGTACTTCAATTACCACGAGGATCATATTTCCCCTTTGAAATTAATCAAAATGAATGGGTAACGATAGAAAATTTTATAAAAATAAATGCGTATTGCGAAAAGTCGAAAATATATACAATATTAAAACCCCATCATTACGCAACCTATGTACGAAATTTTTAATGTCATTACGTTACCAACAACCGACTATAATAACAAATTTGCTTATATAGAAATAGAGAATAAGCTAATGATTGTAAATAAAGAAATGCGTACCTATTGAAGTTTAACGAAACAAGATCTAACTAATTGTATAGATAAATATAAACAATACATATGCGAAAGCAATCATCCGATATATCATTTAAATATAAATACGCCGTGCGAAATAAAAATATATGTATACGAAACAGATTATCGAGAATATTGTAACATAAAACACGTAACAGTAAACCATACGATATGGATTGACTTACGTCAACCACACTCCTGGCTGTACTCGACAGTATCCGAACAGCAAATCACAATAAAATGCGATAAGCACCCTGATTATAAGAAAATAATCAGAAATACAGGTCGAATCACCCTACGTGACAATTGTAAAATGACATTAACAGACATAATATTACAGACTAAAACAATTACAAATACTTCAGAAATCGAAGAATTTCAACCCGAATATAATATAACAATCTTTAAAGATAACAACTATACAAATGACAGACAAAAACTTAAAAGCATAGTAAATAATCCAACAGAACTAAAGGAACTAAATAACAAATTAGAAAAGATAAATAAAGATTTAAATAGTAACAAAAATAACTTCTTTAAACAAAAAACATTTATATATCCAATGGCTTCCAGTGGAATAACCACTATAATTATTATAATAGTAATAATATGGATAATTGTCCAATATAAAAAGAAGAAATCTAAAAAACCGACTGTTACAATAATAGACGAAACTGACAAACCATACGGAATGCCTAGACCAATGAAATGTTCGCGAGTGAGCGCGGATTACTGCGACAGCGCAAAGTTTCAAGAAAACGGCAGACGAACGACCACGACGGATTTTTAACAACTAAATAAACTGAACACGACACGTAAATTTTTTTGGTTTTTTCAGTTTTATTTTTAAACACCACACAATTAATAAAAGTTTAACAAAAATAAGAACGAGCACAATTATTTCAGGTACAGAAATAATTCCGAAGCCGAGATTGCGAAAGTCCGAGTGAGAAAGCGGTCGTTTGATAGTGCGAGAGCGGTTAAACAAAGCGGTGAAGCGGTTTTACAAAATACTGCGATCAGCGATAAGTGCGAGACTTGCCTGGTCCACGCGCGGTGCCCATTATAAAGCGAGCTGATTTTTGGGCCCGCTGCGACGTGGACCAATTAATTTGATCTTTTAGCGGTGACCTCATTGCGGCTCGTGTTGTTGGTTGTTGAGGTCTGACGTCGGATATTATTTATTTGCCATGCGCGCTATCTTTTTAGATCAGCTGATTGGCGATCAGCTGATCGTGACGCATGGGCGCGCATGCCCATGAGCGGCGTAATTTCAACGACGGTTGACAATAATATTGTTCGCGGCGATGATGAGCGTTTTTTCCGGTGGCAAAAAAAGAGAGATAACTCGAACGTTCGAGTTTTTCTAACAAATAAATATTTCGAGAAGATTCTCGACGCCCGTTAATTTTATATTTTCGAACATTTATTAGCGAAAACATGGGAATTTCGCTATGCGATTTTTAATCTGGAATGATTATTTTAAATTTTGAACATCCCGCCCGCCTCGTCAGTACGTGACGAAATTTATGACTGTGTGCGGTTACAAACAGGTGTCGCGAACTGTTCCATTGATGAGATGTGAAATGAGTAATGAATGGAATGCGAAGTGACGTAGTACGAGACACGTTGCTTAGATTATTCGAGTCTTTCGCGAGAACACGTAGTGCAGTGAAATGAGGCGTATACTGGTGAATTGTGAATGATCTCGCGAATGTGGTGAAGATAGTGTATGTTAAACAATTGCAAGTGAAGTGCAGTGATGAGTGAACGTGAGTAAATTGTGACGCGAAGTCCGAAAGAGAGTGAAGGAAAAGTTAATAACGCGGCTTGAATGTGACATAAAATGTGATTAAAAAATGTGATGGCACGCGGTACGATTATCGGAGATAATGCACAACTCAGGCCGTGATAAATATTGTAATGACCGGACAAGTTAATTATATGCAGACGAGAAAAAAAAATTCGGTGTTCTTTTCGCTCACGACTCCGGGTGTGTTGGTGCTGCGGTGTCGGCTCCAGGCAGGAGGACGATCTTCGTGAGAGGCCGGATGAGCTCCGAAGATGCGGTGCGTATGGTGACCACGCGTGTCACGCCGTCGTCCCCAGGATGCAGCCGGGTGATCCGGGCGAGTGGCCATCGGGTCGGCGGTGTTGTGTCCGACCGCACGAGGCACAGGGCGCCGACGGTAGGACTGGCTGAGTCCTTTAGCCACTTCGGTCGGGATACCAAGGAGTTGACGTACTCTCGTGACCACCTCTCCCAAAAGTGGTCGCGCATCCGTTGGAGGAGTTTCCAGCGGGGTAGAAGATTGAAGCTGCTGTCCGCCAGTGAGGGCTCAGGCACTGCCAGCAGAGGAGCTCCGATCAGGAAGTGTCCTGGTGTGAGTGCCGTTATATCGTCGTGATCGTCCGATAGTGCTTGAAAAGGACGCGAGTTGAGGCACGTCTCCACTTGAGCGAGGAACGTTGACATCTCCTCGAAGGTGAGGGTCGTATCTCCGAGGACCCTTCGCAGATGGTGTTTAGTCGACTTCACCGCCGCCTCCCAAAGTCCGCCGAAGTGAGGTGCTGCCGGTGGGTTGAATCTCCACCGGATCCCGTCGGACGCTGCAATGTGAGCGATGCGTCGGCCGTCGGATGATGATGCCTGAAACAGGAGTCGCAGCTCTCGGTCCGCTCCGACAAAATTGGTGCCGCAGTCGGAGTAGACTTCTTTGCATAGGCCCCGACGGGAAGTGAAGCGCCGGAACACAGCGAGGAATGCATCTGTGGAGTAGTCCGATGCGGTTTCCAGGTGAACGGCCTTGGTGGCGAAGCAGATGAAGACGGCGATGAATCCTTTGTGTGATTTGTGACCTCTTCCCTTTCCGGTTCGGATGAGAATCGGCCCGGCATAATCAACACCGGTTCGCAGGAATGGATGTGCCGTCGGAAGACTGCTCATCATGGGCTGTGGTACTGCGGCCTTCCATCTCACACATGTGACACACCGATGGATGGTTCTCTTGACGATGGAGCGTCCTCGGGGAATCCAGTACCGCAAGCGAAGCAGTCCTAGGGTGAACTGAACCCCGCCGTGAAGCGGGGTCTGTGGTGTGCCCTGACGAGGAGTTGCGTCATCCATGACTCTGGAGGTAAGATAATCGGATGGCGTTCGTCTTCTGAGAGCACAGCGTGCTTCAGCCGACCCACGACTCGAAGGATTCCATGGTCGTCGGGGAAGGGGGTTAATTTCGTTATTGGACTCTTGACCAACTTGTGATTTTGTTTCAGGGCAGTGATCTCCTTGGAGAAATGGAGAGCTTGCACCAAGCGGAGCCAGAGGAGCAAGGCTGCTTCTAACTCGTCGGGCGTGAGGTTGAGGTGAGCCTTCGAACTCGGTGGGTTGCCTTGCCATCGACAACACCAGGCGGTGACCCTCAGGAGGCGATGGAGATCGGAGAACCTGAGGAGCATCTCTGGTTCGGCTTTCTCCGTGGTCATCAAGTGGGAGGCGATTGCTCTCGTCTCCGGCACCTCGACGTCGTGTGTGGCGTGGTCGTGCTGTGGCCAGAACGATGGATCCTTGGTGAGCCATGGGGGTCCCGTCCACCAGAGGGAATGGTTGAGCAGGTCCCGGGACTCAATCCCCCGAGAGGCGCAGTCAGCGGGGTTGTCTCGTCCTGGGATGTGTCGCCATCATGCCTCCGGAAGTTTCGTCTGGATGTGGGACACCCTGTTGGCTACGAAGGTTTTCCACTTCGAGGCGTGTCCTTGGATCCATTGAAGCGTGACCCGGGAGTCCGACCATAGAGTGACTGGAGCAAGTCTGGAGAGACTGAAATCAAGTCTAAGGTCTTGCGGAGATGAAAAGTCAGGTTAGTGATCAGGACTGCGGCGCACAATTCCAAGCGCGGTAGAGACACGGGCTTAATGGGCGCAACTTTGCTTTTTGCAGCAAGCAGGCTGGTCGTGGTCGAGGAGGAGCTCATCACGCGGAGGTAAATGACGGCTGCGTAACCTCGCTCCGACGCGTCAGCAAACCCGTGGAGCTCGACGTGATTTGGTTGGTTATCGGCACTCAGCCATCGTTCCAACCGAAGCTGTTCCAACAGCGGAAGATCTTCAAGCAGACGTCTCCACAACGCCTCATCTGATTGAGGCAGTGGGGAGTCCTAATCTAAGTGCTTCATCCAAGCTGACTGGATGAGGATTTTGGCACGAGCGGTGACTGGAGCTAACCAGTCTAAGGGGTCGAAGATTCGAGCTGTCTCCGACAATGCCTGTCTTTTCGTCAGCGGGGCGGTCGTGCGAGGCTGGAGGCGGAACGTAAAGGAGTCGCTGCGGGGGTGCCACCGTAGACCAAGCGTCGGGTGAGCTTCGTCCTCCCAGTCGTGGTATGGCTGCTGGAGTTGATGCTCCCTTGGTATTTCCTCGAGGATGCTCTGGTGATTTGAGGCCCACTTCTTCAAGGGAAACCCGCCCGCCGTGCAGAGCCGGCGTAACTGCCTCTGTGTTTCGACTGCCTCGGACAGGGTGCTGGCGCCTGTGACGATGTCGTCGATATAGCAATCGCGCCGCAAAGCGACTGCTCCCTTGGGGTTTGCCGGCTCTTCATCGGCGGCTAATTGGCGGAGAGTCCTGATCGCCAGGAAGGGTGCACAGGCCAATTCGTATGTCACCGTGTTGAGCCGATACTCTTGGACGTCATCAGTGCTTTATCGTCTCCAAAGGATCCGCTGCAGATCTCGATCGTCCGGGTGTACGAGAATCTGCCGGTACATCTTTTCGATGTCAGCGATGAAGACAAAGCGGTGCCAACGCCAACGAAGAAAGATGTCGGCGAGAGTTGGCAAGAGATTGTCTCCGACCAGCAAAGAGTTGTTGAGGGAGTCTCCGGCAGGCGTACATTGGGATCCGTTGAAGACGACTCTCAACTTGATGGTCGTGCTGGAAGTCCGTAGCACACGGAATTGTTTTTGATAAGCGGTGTTTTGACCAAGATCATGTGTTTCAGGTCCGTGTACTCTTCCATGAAGTCGCAATAGAGCTGGTTGAAGCTGACGTCTCTGGAACGGCGTCGCTCCATTGCCGTGAGGAGTCGCTCGGCGTGTGATCAAGAGGTGGAAGAGGGCCAGCCAGCGGAAGACACACCATGTATCTTCCATCTGCGTGGCGCTCATGAATGCGAGCGAAGATCTCTTCGCATTGTTCTTCGTCTGGCGTAAGCACGACGGAAGCAGGCTGCTCCCGTTCTTGCTCCCAGAACCTTTGAATCAGAGCGTTCAAATTGTGATCGATGGTGCACTGGAGGGAGCTGAGGGAGCCATTGGACGTCACGACTCCGCAGCCTCCTGACAATATCCACCCGAACGTGGTCCTCTGCGCGATGGGTTGGTCCTTGCGACCCTTACGGAGACCATCGAGGAGAATGCCGGAGAAGGCATCGGCGTCGAGGAGAAGGTGGATGGGGTCTCGCTGAAGATACTGCGGATCCGCCAAAGTGAGGCTGTGAATGTGCGGCCATGTGGTGGAGCCCTGAATTGCTGGCCCCTGGTAGGAAGACAGCCGTGGAAGGACGTAAGCAGCTACGGTGAGAGAGGCTCCAGTCACCCTTGACTTCAGAGCGAGCGTTACCCTTCCGCGTGTGGATCCTGAGTGTGCTCCTCCGATTCCAATTATGGACATCCAGGAGCGGGTGCGCGCCAGACGGAGGCGCTGCGCTAAGTCCTCCGAGACGAGAGACACCTCGGATCTCTGGTCGAGCAGGGCTCGCACATCCTGAGGTCGTCCCAGATGGTCGGTGAGTGTGACGCGCGCGGTGGCGAGAAGAGTCGCCTTTTTGTCGTGTGAAGTGCGTGTCGTGGAAAAAGTGCTTGCTTTGTGTGGTGTTGGTGTCGTGTACGCGTCGTGCAACAGTGTGTGGTGCCGCGACTTGCACGTGAAACACGTTTTGATGGATTGACACTTTGCCATCATGTGGTTCCCGAGACAGTTAAAACAAAGTCCGCTAACGAATAACTTTCTTTCGCTCGCGGACTTGGACTTGAACTCGGGACACTGCATTAGTGTGTGTTTGCCCTTGCAAGCGGCGCATTTGGACGTGTCGGGCCCGTTCTTCACGAAGTGAGACTTCGCGGTCCGGGAGGTTTCCCCAGCACTCTTCGTGGCGATCTTGGGTTTCCCGGCGTTCAAGGTAAGAATCCTTTTACTAATAAATTCAGTGAGTGCCTCGTGAGTCGGCGGATCGGGAGAATCGCTGGTGGAAGATTCCCATTCGAGGCGTGTTCGCGAGTCGAACAATTCGATCACCAAGTGATTGAGGAGATCCATCCCATGGGAATTGATGGGTCTTCCGATGCTTTCTTGCGCGTTGACGGTGGCCGTGACGGCGTGATGGACGCGACTTAGCTCTTCGGCGGACTCGGACTTCATTTTTCCGACGGCAGTGAAGGTAGAAAAATTTGATCGCATGAGTTCCTTCTTATTTTCAAAGTGTTTTGCCAAGATCGCCCATGCGCGGTCGTAATTCTCGCTTGTAACCGTTAATGATCGGATTAATTTTTCCGCAGATCCCTTCACGCTGGAGCGAAGGTAATGGAACTGCTCAATGTTCGAGACCGACGGATTCTCTCCGACGAGGGATAAAAAGAGGTCTCGAAAAGAAGGCCAGTCTTCGTAGGCGCCCGAAAACGGCGGCAATTTTATACGCGGCAACGCAGTTTTGGGAGAAGACTCCGACTTCGGTTCGATTCTGTGTGCGACAACTGACTCGGCCCTTAACTTGTCAGCGTAGTCGCTCAACGTGCTCCGTTGAGATACGTAAGTACATTTCGCAGTATCGATGAAATCATTTTTGGCGTACTCACTCTCCAAGTATCTGTCTTTAAGAGCCGCTCGTATCAGTTCGTGTTGAGCCTCGAATTTCGCCCAGAGGTTGTCGAGGATGGTGAGGCGAGCCTGGATGGCACCGGCGGTGATGTTGGTGACTCCTATCTTGCGGAGGTTGTCCACGGAGTGAGACATTCGTCCATGGATGTCGGTTTGAGCCTCTAACAAGGCCTTCAGGTCAACACTCATTTTGATTGATCTGCTTTTCTGTTTGTTCAGGAGATTTGCAGCACTGCACAGCACTGAAAACGTCACTCACGAAACTGCGGATATTATCCGGCTCGAAAGACCAGAAATGTTCGCGAGTGAGCGCGAATTGCTGCGACAGCGCAAAGTTTCAAGAAAACGGCAGACGAACGACCACGACGGATTTTTAACAACTAAATAAACTGAACACGACACGTAAATTTTTTTGATTTTTTCAGTTTTATTTTTAAACACCAATTAATAAAAGTTTAACAAAAATAAGAACGAGCACAATTATTTCAGGTACAGAAATAATTCCGAAGCCGAGAAAGTCCGAGTGAGAAAGCGGTCGTTTGATAGTGCGAGAGCGGTTAGACAAAGCGGTGAAGCGGTTTTACAAAATACTGCGAGCAGCGATAAGTGCGAGACTTGCCTGGTCCACGCGCGGTGCCCATTATAAAGCGAGCGGATTTTTGGGCCCGCTACGACGTGGACCAATTAATTTGATCTTTTAGCGGTGACCTCATTGCGGCGCGTGTCGTTGGTTGTTGATGAGGTCTGACGTCGGATATTATTTATTTGCCATGCGCGCTATCTTTTTAGATCAGCTGATTGACGATCAGCTGATCGTAACGCATGGGCGCGCATGCCCATGAGCGGCGTAAATTTCAACAATGGTTGACAATAATATTGTTCGCGGCGATGATGAGCGTTTTTTCCGGTGGCAAAAAAAAGAGATAACTCGAACGTTCGAGTTTTTCTAACAAATAGATATTTAGAGAAGATTCTCGACGCCCGTTAATTTTAAATTTTCGAACATTTATTAGCGAAAACATGCGAATTTCGCTATGCGATTTTTAATCTGGAATGATTATTTTAAATTTTGAACACCAATATTAAAAAGAACTAAGAGCACACGATTTTAGAATAAATTTTAATTTAAGAAACGATTATAATGAATATTGTGCACGCGAAATATATTGTATTTAAAATAAGGATAGGCATATGTACATTTAGAAGATAGAAAAACTCCGTTTACAACCTCCGTTTTTCTTCTCCAACAGAGGAGGGATGTTATAGTCCGAAAGATTATAACTTATTATTTCATTATAATAGAATATACAGGGTGTCCCTAAATTCGCGCCCACGGAGTACAAGGCGTGATACTTTAGGCTAAAAGAAATAACTTTTTCCTTTAGCAAAATTGCGTGCGATAAGTAGTTTTTGAAGGAGAGCAGGTTGAAGTAAACCAATAGGCGTTCTGGTGTAAGTGGCGCTCAGGGCCGGCGCGCGCGCTTCGCTCACTTGTATCAAATTCTTGACTAGTATTTACAAGTAATGTTAAAACATTAATGCTTTGTTATAATTAGTTTACTATGAATTTATTTTTATCTTAGTTATGATTTTATTTTAATTATACATATAATTAGTTAGATTATACTTAAGACTCAAATAATAAGAATCAACTTGAATACTGAACCGTGATCTTTTTCCATATTGTATTCTTTAAAAAGTGAATAATTAACAAAACAAATATTGCTTTTATTTTTTACGTAATAAAAGATAAAAGAATGTCTGATTTCGTAGATCTATCTGAAAATAGAGACAAATGTAAATAGTAATGTGCTTTGCAAGCTAAACGCGTTTCTATTCTTCTAAATTTTTTCTTTTTTCATCATTTTCTTACATTTTGAAAAATTTTCTACAAAAATATCAATTGTGCCGCTGGCATTAGGTTTAGCTCGCAAAGCACATTACTATTTACATTTGTCTCTATTTTCAGATAGATCTACGAAATCAGACATTCTTTTATCTTTTATTACGTAAAAAATAAAAGCAATATTTGTTTTGTTAATTATTCACTTTTTAAAGAATACAATATGGAAAAAGATCACGGTTCAGTATTCAAGTTGATTCTTATTATTTGAGTCTTAAGTATAATCTAACTAATTATATGTATAATTAAAATAAAATCATAACTAAGATAAAAATAAATTCATAGTAAACTAATTATAACAAAGCATTAATGTTTTAACATTACTTGTAAATACTAGTCAAGAATTTGATACAAGTGAGCGAAGCGCGCGCGCCGGCCCTGAGCGCCACTTACACCAGAACGCCTATTGGTTTACTTCAACCTGCTCTCCTTCAAAAACTACTTATCGCACGCAATTTTGCTAAAGGAAAAAGTTATTTCTTTTAGCCTAAAGTATCACGCCTTGTACTCCGTGGGCACGAATTTAGGGACACCCTGTATAATAGAACATTCGCGAACCGCGCAAAACCGCCATTTCAGCAAACCACGCGCAAGAACGCTCGCCGGAAACGCGAAAGACGCTAACGAAGGAATTCGACTTTGAACCTCCTTCGTTTGCATTTGGACTTTGGACGCCACGAAGAACCTCCATGACCATACATGGTCATGTCGCTAGGCGATCCCCTCCAAAACACCCCCGAAACCGAGGGAATAAAAGCCGTCCACCGCGAATCCGCGACAGTCATTAATAAAAAATCATATAACGAACGTTAGTATTGCGAAACCAAGGGCTAGCCGCTATATTGCGTGAAACATCCAACGAAGTTACTAAACACACTAAGAATAAGAACGAAGCGATTCAGGAACGAGCCACGAAGAGAGGGCTCGAAAGAAATTGATTGATATACTATTCAAATAATAATATATTTAATAAACAAATTGTAACTTTAAAATAAAGATTTTGCAAAAAACGCAGCTGAGGATCCCGTGATCTGTCTAATTTCCCCGGCTACCCCACACCCTGTGCCGCGCCAGGCACAACAATTTATTAAAATATGAATATAAATATATAAATATAAAAATATATAATATAAAATGTAAAAATACAAAATATAAAAATATATACATGGTGTACAAAATATACAATAAACAAAATATACATTTATTTACAATGGTATCCGATAATGTCCCCACGATAGCGTATCGGTGGTATTGGGTACGATATACCGCTTGTCGTCATACAGACTCTGAGCAATTCTCGTCTCGCGGATCGTGTATACTTGGCGTAATTTAGATCGTATACACGACTGCTGACGCGTCATTTCAATCTCTTCGTTCAAGCACCGCGTGTAATCGTCGAACGTTATCGTTCTTACGACAACGTTGCTCTTGACGCCTTTAACTTTCTTTGTATTCTTTTTTTCATTCACTCGTAACATACATCTTTGCTCTGAGCCCGACGAATTCGATCATTATGGCACCGTTGTTTTCATCCTTCATCAAACGCGGTACCTTTTTATTTAGAAGCGGTATATTGTACACATTATCCACCGCATAATCGCTCGTGTCGAATCTAGCGATGTCGCGCGCTTCATATTCTCACACATCCGCGCACTCGATGTGATATATAAGACTTTCCGTATCGGTGTACATTACCCGGCATTTGTCGCGATACATTGGCATCATATACTCGTGATGAAATTCATACAAACATGTCTTAGATATGTCGAGGATGCACATACCCACATAAAGTGGTTTGTAGAATTTCACCTCGAGTTTACGCAATTCCACAGCGATTAAGTTTTCCGAAAAAACGCTTCTGCTGTGGAAATTTGGTTTCACGATCATCGCTTCTGCGCCGTACCGACCGTCCCACTTTGTTAATAATTTTCATCGACACGGTTGCGCACATTTTCCATCGTTTTACTAAATACAGCATTGTTCATTAATTTATATAAATGTTTTTCGAAATCATTTTTAGCCAATGTTCTGAAATGTGTATTTACTTCTATGTAATTTTGAAGGCAGGGAGATTGTGAAAACTGTAAAATTCGATGTATTTTTGTTACACGTAAGCCGTGACGCGTACACTGCTGCAGGTTGCGGTAGTATCACGTAACGCTTCTTATCGTATAACGTTGCAAGTAGCTTGAATTCCCGCTTGTCAGGTGGTTCGTCGCAAGTCGGTCAGTGTACGCATTGTTAAGATGTTGCGAGTACTCGAGGATATAGCCCGTAGGCGAATCTAGCGCGATGAATGATACATCAAAATTGGACACGTCATCGACTCATTGAAAATTGGCATAGGGCAACGGTTGACACATTGCCCATCCGTACAAATCATTTACATCAAGTACGATAATGGTTTCGATGGATCGTACGACTCCATGTACTTGTTATTAGCGTGAGCGTATCTACCCGAACATTGACTCAGACCGCCGCATATACCACGTTCGATGAACATGTCGATGTCTGTAGGCAGCTCGAACGTGATCTTTGTATGCTTGAACATGGCGTGTATCCAGGAAGAGTATAGTAATACGCGGGGTCGAGTCCGTAACTTCCGATACATTTATCTCGAAAGTTTTCGAAAATGTCGGTTAATAACAAGACATCGATTTTGAGGTACAAGTCATTATATTCGCCTAGCGTTCGAATGGAGAATCGCATCCAGACATTCTCAGCGTGCGCGTAATCTCTCTCGGATACAGTTTCGCCGGTCAAGGAACTGTAAAACGATTCGCGCGATGGTAAACACATCTTGCAACCTGTCAACGGAATCGATGTATTCGTACGGAAATACACCTTTTCGCGTTAACAAATTGAAATGTTCTGTTGATAAATTTTGAAATTCCGAATTTAAAATTTTGAGCTTGTCTTTCTCTTCTTTGTCTAAAAATGATGCTAATTTATCGAGACTCGATGCGAGAAATTTAAAGGAATTGATGAAACGTAATTTTATATGAGATTTTTATTCTTCTTCTATACAAACATCTTTTGTAAATGAAATATATTTTTCCTTGGTTATCGGTAATAATTCGATTTTCCCTTCGAATGCTGGCTATTTCCTCGATAATAAAGTGTGAGTCATAACCGGATAAATTATGAAAAACTATCGGAATAGAAAAAGATTCTTTATAATTTAGATTACAATTTGAATGTGCTGGACCTCTGTACCGCCCGGTCAGATGACAATGATCACGAACGCGTGTGATTTTTCGCATATATGACATTGAGTGGCGTTATG